ACATCAATTGATTTTCCTGCTTGTATATGAAGCATTGCTGGTGTGTTTAATAAATGTTAGTTAACCCAATACTGAATATTCAGATGCCTTTTTAATTTGTATTTTATCCTAGACCTGTAACTTGTTTCCTCATAAGTTTTTCTCTAGCATTTTTTTTCCTAGCTAATTTAATGTTATTTATCTATCCTACCGTATTTTGACGTTGCTTTTAGTTTATACTGATAATTTCTGAAACTGGGAAAAATCAATTGAGGAAATATCTTTGACTGTTGGTTCCATCAGTGCTCTTGCTTCTGGTGTCAAAGAGAAAGCTGATTGCTGACATGGGTTTAACAAGGCTCAAAGAAAATCTTTCTTTGGTAGTATTTTATTGGAAACACCTTCACTTTCTCTAAGTCTCCAGATATTAACCTTTAGGTGCTCTACAACTTCGAAATTAAAGATAAGGGCTCTGGCATTCCCACTGTGCCCCTTTTCAGCTAATCAGCTGTGAGTCCACACTCCTGAAACAGTTAGAGGCTCCCCCCAAAGTTTCCTTAAAATTTCAGCACTATTTGTCAAGACCAGTTTTGACCTTTTTGTAGTTTTTCTTAGTCCTATTTCCACTCTCATTTACTCTTCCAGTTTACTTTTCCATCATCTTTCTGCTTTTGAAAGAAAATATATTACTCTACAGAAGATAGTGTGATTATTTGAAGTCTCTCTTCATGTTCCCCTCTAGTTCTGTCTGTTCATCTATCATTCCCTAATCCATATAATAAGAGAATCTAAAATGCAGAAAGGTTGAGTAATTTGTTCCTGATCACAAAGCAAAAAATCAGTTCAGCCACCAGAAAAATAGTAATAGCAAAGACTTTGACAATAAACTAAGAAATAAATCACTGTCTAAGTCCCAGGCTAATTCCTGAGATATAGATGTGTGAGGCAGCCTCAAAGCAAAATACCAAAGGCTTTGAAACTGGAACACTTCCCACAGAAACAGTAAGGCAGAACTGGTTCAATCTAGTCAGGATGGTTGCCTGCTTAAAAAAAAAAAAGAAAAAAGCCCCAGAGGGTTTTAATCGGATCCAGAGGCCCATGACATAGTATTCAAAATAAAATACCCAAGATTACAATTCACATTACTTGGTAGACAGAGTCAGAAAAACGTGACCAATTCTCAAGGGAAAAGACAACAGATGCCAACACTAAAATAACCATGATGTTGAAATTATCAAAGATGTTAAAGAGCTATGCTCCATGAGGTGGTGATAAGCACTCTTGAAACAAATGGAAGGATAGATATTCTTAACAAAGAAAGGAAGATTATAAAAACCAAGCAGAAATTTTCAAAGTGAAAAAAAATCTGAAAAAAAAGATCCACTGGTTGGATTCAGAAGTTCTTCAAGTTGAAGAGAAATGATTCCACAGGAAAAAGAGCAACAGGAATAGGAGATATCTAGGTAATAATAGCCTATTTTTCTCAAATTCTTTAATACATTTATAGCAATTGAAAGCAAAAATTAGAACATCATTTGGTGGAGTTTTCAATGTTATATAGATGTAGTACATGTGACAGCTATAACAAGGAGGCGGAAGTAAAGGGACCTATATGGTTGCAAGTCACTATTGGTTAGAAACATGTTACAGGTCAATCTACCTTCAAGATACAGGGTTTACACAATGCATGAATACCAGGAAATGAGAATCATGTAACTGACAGAATATGCAAAAGTGATGGGATGTCAGTACCATGGTTATGTTACATTATGTAAGACTCCTCCTTACCAGTAGATTTACTCAGTAGCCCCTCCTTCCTTCATGCCCACCTCCACCCACTTCATAGCTATCTTTGAAGAAGCCAGCTGCTATGAATCCTAGAACTGCAAGGAAGTGAATTCTCCAAACAACCTGAGTGAGTAGATCCTTCTGGCTGAAGTCTCAGATGACAACCCAGCCTAGCCAACACCTTGATTGCAAATTTGCGAAAGACCCAACTAAGTCAGGCCCAGACTCTTAACCCACAGACACAGGAAAGGATGAAGTGAGGGGAGAGAGAATATGAATATCTATACTTGAATATTTATCACTGGAGATGCAGAACCACTGAGAAGGTTTTTTTAAAAAAGTTCAAAAATAAACATGGATTTGGATTTCAGCTTCATTTACTAGCTTTGTGTGAAAACTGAAGTGTTGCTTTTTTTGATCATAAAATGGGAATAATAGTATCTTCCTTGTAAGATTGTTGGGAGCAATAAAATGAGATGATGTAATCCTGGGACTTCACATAATGCGAAGAATGTAGTAGGTGAATAGTTACTTGCGATGGTCCTTTTGTGTTTCTGGGAGTGACATTTTTCCTCCTGCTTCCTCCTCCAATACTATGCTTGGGCATTCACCAATTTATTATACCAACATCATCCACTCTGTGCCAGACCCTGGGTCAGAAGATTAATTCAAAGATTAAGGCTAAAATGAACCAACTCCTTGAAAGACTACCAAAATTCTCTCAAGAAAAAAATAATATAACCTGAATTTCCCTGCATCTAAATTCAATTAAAGAGATTGAATTCATAGTTTAAAACCTTCCACCAAAGTAATCTTCCAGCCCATATAGTGAATTCCACCAAGTATTTAAGGAAGAAATAATACCAGTCTACACACATTTTCAGTCTATAAAAGAAAACAATACTTTTCAGCTCATTTTTTTGATTCCAGCATAACATTAATACCAAAACTAGACAAAATAATTATTTTAAACAGATAATACGTATGATCAAGTGGGTATACACACAAGGCTGGTTAAAAAATGGAAAATCTATCAGTTGATCCACCATATTAAGTAAAAGGAAAAATGATCATCTCAATAGGTGCATAAAAATAATTGGACATAATTCAGTATCCTTTCATCATTAAAAAAAATTAAACACCTCTCAGCAAACCAGGAATTAAGGGAACTTTTTCAGTCTGATAAAGGGCATTAAAAATAATAAACTACAGCCAATGTCATACTTAGTGAAAGATAGAATGTTTTTCCTTTAAAACTGGGAGCAATGCAAGAAAGTCCACCCTTAACATTTCAGTTCATCATTGTTCTAGACATCCCAACCAGTGCAGTAATACAAGAAAAATAATTAAAAGGTATCCAGGTTGGATTATGTGAACTGAAACTACTTGTATTCACAGATAACAGGGTTTCTATATAGAAAATTCCAAGGAATCAACCCAAAAAAAGCCTTTAAATGAATAAGTGATATTAGCAAAATACTGGAATACAAGATCAACATACAAAAGTTATATTTCTGTATATTACCATTGCACAGTTGGAATTCAGACTTTCAAAAACTATTTTAACAATAGCACTCAAAAATTAAATACATAGGTATTTAACAAAACGTGTGGGATCTGTATACTGAAAAATAAAGCACTATAAAAGAAATCAAAGACAACCTAAATAAATGGAGGGATATGTGTCTTTCTCAGTTGGAACACTCAGTATTCTCAAGTTTTTCTGAGTTGATTTATAGATTCAACAAAATCCAAATCAAAACCCAAGAATATTTTTCTGTGATAACATTAATATAATTCTAAAACTTATACTAAAAGGCAAAGAAACTAGATTGATCCAAAAAATCATGAAAAGAACAAAGTTGGACTTACACCTCTTGATTTCAAGAATTATTGTAAAGCTCCAGTAATCAAGATGGTGTGCTATTGGCAAAAGGGTGGGAACATACATCCGTGGAAATTGATACACAAAAATATAGTCAACTGATTTTTTACAAAGGTGCACAGGCTATTTAATGAAGAAAGGATGATCTTTTTAAATAAATGATGCTAAAACAATTACATATGTAAATACAAATAAAATGAACTTTGACTCATCCCTCTTACCTTAAACATATTCCAAGTGGATCATAGACCTAAATGTAAAATAGAAAACTATAACACTTCTAGAAGAAAACATAGGTTAAAAAAAATCTTTGTGATCTCTTGTTAGGGAGAGTCCTCAGATACAACACCAAAAGTTCAATCCATAGAAGCAAAAATTGACAATTTGTACTTCATCAAAATTTAAAATTTATGCTTTGCAAACGATGCCATTGAAAAAAACAAAACATTTGTATATCTTGCATCTGACAAAGGACTTGTATTCAGAATATGAACAGAACTGTCAAAACTCCACCATAAGAAAACTCAATTAAAAATATAGGCAAAATATTTAAGCCTATATTTTGCCAAATTAGATATATGAATGGCAAATAGCCCATAAAAAGATACTCAACATCATTAATCATTAGGGAAATGCATTTTAAAACTAGAGATACCACTATACACTTACTAAAATAACTTTAATGACAATATAAAGTGCTGGCAAGGATGCAACTAAAATTCTCAGACATTAATGGTACACATGCAAAAAGGTAGGACCACTTGTGAGAAGTTTGACAGTTTCTTATAAAGTTACATATACACTTATTATATGACTCAGCAATCTCATTCCTAGATATTTTACCAAAATGAGGTGAAGACTTAAATTCACACAAAGATCTGTATATGAATGTCCATGTAACTCAATAATTGCCCCAAACTGGAAACAACCCTAATATGTTTAAGTTGGTAAATGGATAAACAAACTGGTACCTCCCTACAGTGAAATACTACTATTCAGTAATTTTTAAAAAAAAAGTGAGCTATAATACGCACAACACTTGTGTGAATCTAGACATTATGAGTGAAAGAAATCAATGTCAAAAGACTCCATACTGTAATTCCATTTATATGACATTCTGGAAAATGCTAAACTATAGGAGTGGAAAATAGATCAGTGGTTGCCAGGGATTATATGTAAGAGGGTTGACTGAATAGAAAGAACATTACAGCATTTTTAAGGTGACAGAACTTTCTATGTCGTGATTGTGGTGATGGTTGTCAAAACTCATAGAACTATGCACCAAAAAGTAAATTTTATTGTATGCAAATTAAATAAATTTTTTAAAGAAAGAAAAAAATAGCCCCTGTACATAAGACAAACCACACTTGGAATTATTTATTCAATTCACAGTTTCTCCTTTACTAAAAGTTCCAAGAAGGCCATACTTTATTCTCAACACTAAGAATTTGTAGCCCAAGGATGTGCACCTACCCTTCTCTCCTTAACGTGAAAGAGCTTGGGCTAACTTCAGAGGATTAGAGAGCACATGAAAGTGGATCAGCCAGCCCCAGCTGACCAGCAGCACTAGATGTATGAATGAGGCCAACTTGGACCATCCAGCTCGTCAAGCCACCAACTGGTATAGTTCTGTAAGTGATACCAAGTGAGACTAGCAAAAGAACTATACGACTGAATCCAATTCAAATTGCTGATGTGCAGAATTGTAAGCAAATAAAATGGTGGTTGATTTAACCACCATGTTTTAGGGGTGATTTGTTACACAGCATTAGATAGTGTATACTATCATCTATGGAGAAGCCAAATTATATTGGATTCCCCACGCCCATTTTTAAAAAGTCATTTGAGAGATGTTACAAGAAATCCTCTTGTCTCTGAGGGAAAAGAAAAGAAAAGCTTAGGTTAATAGGACATTCCCAGAGATTTCTATTAAGTGGTGTTTTCCTGCATAAAGCCCAGGTAATGTATTGTGCTGAAATATCTATAATAACATGTTCATCCTTTGTGGTTATATTTTAAGACAGAGAAGGTCAACGATGAGAGGGAGAAGTTGAAGGCACCAATATTTATAGATGGCAAAGAGAGAGACTAAGAGGGGACATGGTGGCTGTTTTTAAATATTTGATGGGCTTTTTAAAACCCCATGTTGTTTCAAAGCCAGAAATTGGATTACTATGTATAAGATAAAGGAAGAATGTTTCCGACTCAATGGTAAGGAAGAATTCTCTAATACAAGAGCTGACTAACAGTGAATTATGCTGCCTCAAAAATCAGTGAGGCAGCTATCATTAGGAATTTGCAAACAAGCTGAATGGTCACATTTTAAAGATGTTTTCTGTACTGAGTATGCAGGTGATTCCTATACAAACTGAGACAATATACTGGATAATTTTCTAAAGTTCCTTCAGACTCTGAGTCTTTTAAAATTATTTGTCATCACGAGATTCATAGCCATGTTGTAAAACTTGGACTTTTAAACTTGCTGTTCTTTGAATTAGACTTTTCAGATATGCCGTGCTGTAGGTAGCCAAAACAAGTTGTTTTCCCTCATAATTTGTAGGAACAGAGACTTGTTTTGATAACTGAAAACAAACAAGCTGGAGATATTTTTTCTCTCCTGCTTACAGTTTGTCAAGTGACCATGTGTACCAGGGATAGTTTCAAAGGATGGAGAGAAACTGTCACATCCAGCCTGCCCTGCTTTGCCAAAAGCTGGACTACAAACAGGGCCAGTTTCATAGTCATATGAACTGTGCAGTTGCACTGGGTCCCATGCTTGGCTTAATGGTTCACTACCACTGTTTTGAAATTCTTAATTTATGAACAAGAGGCCCCACAAATTTTGTAGCCAATCCTAACTCTACAGTCTTTTAGTTGTAGTTCCTCACCTTGTTATCTTGCCCTCTGCCTTCTGCCTTTACAGTGGAATAAGACCTCTCAAGTCATCTGTTGCCTAATGGCCAGTTCCTATAGTCTCCCCTGAAATCCTCATCCATTTTCATCTGTCTAGAGCATCTGACATTGTTGGCAGACCATACCTTTAAATTCCCTGTTTGGTTTCTATGACTCTATATGAATGTGGTTTTCTTATCTCTGAACTTGTTTGATAAACGTGCCTCAGGGTTTTTTCTCTAGAATGGGCCCATGTTCTATCCATCAGAATTTATTGGTACTCCCTTATTTCACAGGTCAGTGATAAAATGATTTCCAAATGGATAAATTTAAAATCTGAACTATAGTTCTACCTGGTTAGTATTACAAATCATATACAATTTTGTTTTGTTTTGTTTTGCTTTTCTTAATACAGCAGTGAAATGAAGAACATACCAGGGGTTTCATCAGTTGAATATATAAATGGTCGTAAATTTCCTCGAGTCTCCTTCACAAAATAATCAATGACACTGAAAAGATTTGGGAGTGTTACCTGTATAAAGAGAGTGAGAGAAGACTCGGTGTCACCTGTGTAAAGACAGAGTAAGAGAAAACTTAACTGAAATTTAATGGAGATTACTGTGTATTTCCTGATCTCCAGAAAATTGTGTCAGTTCCTCACTTCAGTGGGTTACTGAATGGCCAAGGTTTTGCCTACCCATGCATTTTATTTCTCCTTTATAGCCGTATCTAATTCCCTATTGAGAAATTACCCCTTTCCCATTGGATACGTTTTGATGGACAATAATTAGATACCCTGCTATTTTCCTGTTATTACATGAGAATGTGACTCAAGTTAGGCCAAAACAAAACAAAACAAACAAACAAAAAAAACCCTTCAAGAAATTTGAACTTCATAGAGAACCAAGAAAGGATAGCAGACTCCTAATCAGATGATACTTAGTATCAGTAAATACTTCCTAGTGTCAGAAGGCTTTCAAGCCTTCCAGTCATTCTTTGTGCTTCCTGTGTTCCTAAAATAAGTCCTTTTTTTTTTGCTTCAGTTAGCCATAATTGGTTTCTTCTGCTTGAAACAGAAGAATCCTTTAAAGCCAGCAAACTTAGCATATTAGTATCTCATTGTAACAGGATAATTTACTTGGCTAGGAGTAACTGAATTGTCTGGCTGCTCTGTAAACCAATATTTTTATGCAAGGAAAATCAGGTTAAACTTGAATATCCCTGGTAAACTTGAAGAGGAAAAAGAATTGACAAAATGACAACCCGGTTGGGGAGTATGAAAGGTAAAAGAGCAATCCAGGGTGCTAGCTTTCCTTACACTGGGGGCTGTTGGGCTAATGACAGATGAATGAGCCCCAGTTCACCAGCTGCAGAGACAGTCTTCCCTGACCACTGCTTCCAGTCACTTGGTTATTTGGATTATCGTTCTGCATTCTAATTCTGTTTCCTTCATTAGAATTTTTGGAAAAGCCCATTCAGGCATGGACATGAGAACTAAAAAGCTCTAGGAAACATGGCAAGGACCTAAGTGGGGTATATGAAGTAGCAGCTGTCTGGCTCTTGGTAAAGGTCACACTGCACTCTGAGGGTTATAGTCAGAACATAAGAAATTCAACACTACACTCCCTTTCTCTGACCAACACAGTGGGCCTGGGGAGGCAGAGGCACTAGGAGCTCAATTTTAGAGAAGATATCATGAATATCTTCAAGATCCATTGCTTCCATTTAAATGGTGTCACTTCCCTGGCCCTATCTTCCCACCACTGCAGCCTAAGATCACAGAGCTATATTCCCTTTTCCTAGAATACAGACTGTAAATACCAGTTTTTCCACCTGTGTAATAGGTGTTACCTCAGGGTAATGATAAAAATTAAATTAGATGATGTAAAGTATTTAGCTCTGTGCCTAACAGTATGCAGTGGTTATGATATTTTATCATTAGCCCTATGATAAGTTGGTTGGGATAGGAAGGGGGTTGAAGATGAGGAAGAAATTCTTTCTTCACTATTGTGTCACCATTAGGGGAATTTCTGAACAACTGCATAGTGTGATACATAATACAACTGCTGTATTAGAGGACTAGGCATTCAAAGATTTTTTCCCATTAGAGATAAACACATTGAAATACATACTTCTAATTGGAGGATGTAAAACAGATACTTAACAGAAATATTTTTCTCTCTCTGAGGCAACTGTTTGATAAAGATTTTCAGGGAAGTGGAAAGAATTGTTAGCAAATTATCTTCTACTCTGCCTCATTCACCTGCTGTCGCATCTCATTTCTCACCCTGTATGTCTGCCACCTTCGGGGCCTCCTAACATGGCTGTTTTTGCCAACACTATGTTCTTAGGTAAGGAATATGCTTTTCCACCTTACTTTGTATTCTATAAGATAGTTTTGGGAGGAAGCAGGAGAAAATTAATCAACAATAAGGAAATAGCTACTTACAGGTTTTTCCAAATCAATAGTATAGTTTTGTCCTACACTCATCACTTTGTAGTGCTTGATTCTTGGAAGGCTAAAATGAAAAGAAAAAAAAAGGTTCATCTCCATTTGAGTATACTATTGGGTCAATTAAACTAAAGTGATTATAAAATATCACCTGTATAGTAAAACTATACTCCCATGATTTGGGTTTGGCAAAACACACACACACACACACACACACACGTTTTTTGTTTGTTTTACTGTTTACTTTTTTCCTATGTCTCTTTTTATGGGGTTATACACTAGGGATATAGGAAACTTGGGTCACTGAGTAGATGAATGAGAAGAATAACAGATGAAAAAAGAAACCAAGAACTAAAATCTTCCAGGCAGAAACTTTTTTAAATGCTAGTAATTTACAAAGTAGACAATATAAAATCCTATGTAGGTATATAAAAATCAAATATATATTCTCTATATTAGAAGGGAAGTAGAAAGAAATTCTGAAAGCAAATTACTTTCTTCTTCACCTCATCAATATTCCCATTAGAATGCCCTCAATGGCTGTTCTTCCTGCTAGCCATATACCACCCTGGATATCTTCTAACTTCAGAGATGCCTTAGAGATATGGAAAATGGTAGGTGTTAGGTACTAAATGAACACACAGGTGAGAATGTAAGTACAGTAAATGAATCCTAATGTCTTCCTCTTCTGTAGTCACATAGCACTCTAAAGTATTACCATCCTAAATGCATAGTACTTTATTGACTATAACTGTTTTAGAACAAAATATATTCTATTCACTTTTGTACTCCAGCATTGGGCACACAATAAATATTTATGAAATTGAACTTTCAGAATATTGGGAACCCATCTCACAGTGCTATTTGCTAGAACTAATTTATACTGAGAGCAGTCAGTATGTTTGCCTTAAATTTCCTTGATTCATACAGCAACAGTATCAGGACCAAGACTTTCTAATGTTGAAAAATTAACGGCATTTATTACGCTTTTATTTGCTTGAAAAACAAACTAGTTCAACATCTGTCCAATTTACAGAAGCTGCCTAAGCAAAATTGTGAGGTAAAGTTTGTCTACAGGGCTTCCCGTGTTCTTTTTCATCACTCTTGCCATTTCCAGGTTACATTCCTCTAGGACAGAACTACAATTCTGTTTAAGGACTCTCTTATCTAATGTAATATCCAAATCTCTTAGTAGGACAGCATGTTGGAAAACAGCTAATAATTTTTTTCCAATGGCTTGCTTATTCTAGAGCTTCACTCTCAAAACATAGGATAAAACCTAACCAACTCTCTTCCTTTCTTTAAAAAAAAAAGGAGAAAAAAGGTACTCCTTAATTGTAAGCCTTCAGGAATCAGTCACAGACTGGTGAAGGAAACTTTGGGACATAAGAGATCTTACAAGTACCCTCTTCTGGGTTGATTGGCTCTGGCTTTATCTTTATCCCTAAGTGAAAAGAGCTTTATAATCATATAGTTACCTTTGAAAATTCTCACCAATTCCAATTAGAATTCTTATACTTATATGAAATAAGTGATTATTTTTCCTTGGAAGACTGATAGAAAGCTTGAAAGGTATGGCCTCTATAACCAGAAAGATCTAGGTTCAAATTCTAATTCTGTTGTTGGAATTCTCTGAGCCTTCATGTCTTCATCTATAAAATGGAGATGGTAAAGCCTTTCTCATAGGGCTATTGTGAATTAATGTTTGAAAAGTCCTTAGTATAATGTCTGTCATATATAGACCCTCAGTAAATTATAACTACTTTTTAATAGTTTTCAAATGTATTGTTTTTATCTTAGTAGCTTCTGTAAACCTCAGCCTCTTCACTTGTAAAACATGGAAAATACTGTTTTAGTTTTTAATTGTGCCTGAAAGAAATGTTTGTCAGGCACTCAACAGAGAGCACACAAATGTACCCCGTAAGTGTGGACAATGAGTTGTTAGTAGCAGCCATCATATCATCATCATCATTCATGGTAAAGCTGTGGGAGGAAAAGCAGCAAAAGTTAACAGGCTATCTTGGAACTTTGATTAACAGGACTAAGTTCTGAGGCAGAAAGTAAGGTAGAAAAAAATTCCATTGAAGTCACTTAAATTTTGACTCTCTGTAAAAACCTGTGTTTTGCTTTCATATTTTGTTTTTCCAAAGGAATGAAGAGGGGAATAAAAACTTAGATTGATAACATTTGTTATATTGAGGTTTCCTGACTATGACCTCAAAAAAGAAGTAACTTATCTTTTAAAAAAAAAACTGTGGCCTTAAATGTGGTTATAAATACTGTTCTTAGCTTCTGACCCCAATTTTTGCAGAGGAATGAATTTGGGGTCAGTATTTTCTATTGCTTTCTTGGCTAATGGCTTTCCACAGTGTTTATTCTTCTAGCTTACACTGTACTCAACAATTTTAAGAAAGCAAAACCACATTATGAAGTTTGTTGTAAGAATAGCTTTATGTCTTATGAATTCATGCACCACTGGGCTGGGTAAAGTTGGATGACATTTTGCATCATGAGAGGAGCTACCTGATAATTTGACATTGAATGACTTTTGCCTCTTCCTGAAAACTATGATCTTCCCTCCCACAGTTGACTTGTTAACAGATGGAGATAACTTTACTTTCAAGTACTGCTTTGTAAACCAACTTGTCCTTTTCAGCTAGTGTTTTACCAGACACACTGGTCTAAACTTGCATGGCTGAACATTTCTCCTACAACCTGGAAGAGAATGACTTGGTTTTGTGGGTAACACTGATAGTCTAGATTTCTGCCAAAGTCTTTACATTAAGTGCTACAGTCTAACAAGCTTAATTTCCTCTGCTCTCTACAATTTCTATTCTTTAAAATTAAGTGACCTGTTAAATAGAGGATATTAAATTCAGGCATTCTAAAAGACCTATGTTGAGGCGTTAAAGAACATACATAACAATCTGTAACATCATAGATATATCTGGCTCATAAGGAATATTTGTGCAAAACCAGTTAAAATTTTTCTTAGCCACTTTCAGGTATAAATTATTCTCCCAAACATAAATAAGCACATATTCCAGTGTTAGAATGTTCTAGTTTGACCATTCGGTCACTCATTGCTTCCTAAATAAAAACTTTTGGTGGGGGGAATGGTCAATTTTATGAAGTGTTAAGCATTTTTGTGACCATCAGCTGTACAAAAGCATGAATTTCTATGAATTTAAACTGGAAATGTGTTTTCTAAAATTAGAATTATGTAACTTTGATATGAACTCCTTTGCCAGACTCTTATGAGATTAAATATAACTTAAATACAATACAAATAAAACTATGATGTTAAATTCATATTCTAAATATAGACACTCATTGCATTTGGTCACAACTCACATTTGCAGCAAAAAGGTTGTTATTTATCATGGCTCACTTGTACGGAAAATGCAAATCATAAGTTGGACTAATTTAGAACACGTTAAAATAGATCTTGCTGCTATTGTGCAGGAAATATATAAAGACTGTATATTTAGTCTTTAAAGAGCTATTAGATCTCATGAATTCGTTCGTTTCATGCAGAACAATAAGCACAGAGTTCACATGCAAATAGATCACTCAATCCAACCAAGAAAAGAACAGTATGAAGGAAAAAAGTTAATCACTTTTTTGTGTATCTAATTTAACTTTCAAGCAGTTACATTTCTTTTTAAAAATCTTCAAGATAAATTCTAACTCAGTTTTACATACTCTTATTTTTAAAGGTGAAAGTAAGCAGTTAAAGGCATTTTGTATTTTAAGTGATATTCAGTATCCTAAACCCTGAAAAAAGACAAGCTCCTTGACCAGGCTATACTAAATAGAAAAATTCACTTTTCTCCCAGTTCTTCTAAGCTCACTGATATTTAGGGCAGTCATAACTTTTATTTCTTTTGGATTTGATTCAAGATAGCCAGTTAAATTAAAATTCAAGTTAAAAGTGAGTAATCCATGATATTCTACCATATTAGTTGAAAATCCAACATAGCAAATATTAGTCTATAATAAACAGAAAATAATGAAACCACAGGATAGTTGACATAGATATTCACTGTGGAAAAATACACACACACACACCCATAGATTCTCTTACTTCATACACAGAACCAGGATTTGATTTACCATCTAACATTCTTGCCATCTATTCAGTGCACATGGCTACTGTATAAAGACAAGTCTTAGTTTATATGAAGTAGTTGGCAAGTGAATGAAGCTTATTGGGCTGTGGCTTATACTAGCATTGCAGCCATATGCCATAATTTTAATTTTGCCCTGTAATGATTATTTTCTTTTTACTGTCTTTATTCACTTGTCAGTTTCTTCGTATTTAATATGTTTAGAATTATTGATATTTACATATGGATCAGTAGAGAGATTCATTGATAGATATGGCCAAAAAAAAACCCATAAAAAAACCCTCAGAATATTATCCCCAGAAAGAAAGAAAGAATAGCAAATTCAAGAATCAAACTTCTGTTTAAGTTCTTTTATGAAAAATAATCATGTATTGAATATTTCCATTTAGGACAAAAACTCTGTATTTTAATTATATTATCAGTTGTAAAAATGTTAAGTAAGGCAGAGTGCCTACTGAAATGCAAGTTTTTATAGACTCTGAGAGCTGGCATGGACTTTAAAAAATACAATGACCCTTACTATACAGAAAAATCAACTTTTGCATGTAAATGTTACTGACTTTATCAAAGGTAAACCATTTCACTAGAAAGGAATTCTTAACTTTGACAAAAGGCTCCTAAGTGATTCGTTTTATGGTTAAGTCAGAGTATGTCACTTATTTATTCATCACAGTCCAGGGGCCTCTCATGTCCTTCAGAGCATAACCCTTTTCTCCACAATAAGCTGAATGGCTTAGAGCCATCAGCCCCTACATCACCTCTGGAATCTCATCTACCTCTTTCTCCTTGCTCAGTCCACTGCATCTTCTTGTTTTTGAACAATCCAAGCCTTCTCCTGCCTCTAGGCATATATGATTCTTGCCTGGAATGCTCTTATCCTAAATATTTACATGCTATATTCTCTAACTTCCTTGAGGTCTCTGCTTAAGTGTAGGCTAATAAAGTAGGCCTTCCTTGACCACCCTGTATTAAAACAACAACAGCAACCAGAAACAATTTCTCTCTGTATCACCTCTGAGAGTTCTTCTTTCTCCCATCCTGCTTTATTTTACTTCCATAAAACTTATTATCATATCCATGATATTTTTAGTTATGTATTTATTTATGGTCTATGTCTCCCTACAAAAATGTAGACTCCTGGGGGAAGGTATAGCTCAATGGTAGAGTACATGCTTAGCATGCATAAGGTCCTGGGTCTGATTCTCAGTACTTCCATTAAATAAATAAATAAATAAATAAATAAATAAATTAATTAATATCCCCCTCCCCAAACAAACAAAAAAAAATTTTTTAAAGAATGTAGACACTATACCAGGGATATTACTTTGTTTGCTCATGTACATCTACCTCAAATATTACTTGGCTCAATAAACATTGGTTGAAATGAGTGAATGAACAACAGAACTATATCCAGAACCAAAGTAATTTGCTCATTTTTCTTCTTCCCTACTACAAATATTAACCCTGTCTTTAGCACTGTTTGTATAACATTCCCTCCTCATTCTTATATTCACATTATTAGCCCCAACAAAACACAGAACAGGTGCTGATATGACTTGTGTGACTTTGCTTTCTAAAGTGATACCATGCTTTTAATAATTCCATGCTTTTTTTTTAATTAAACGTACTCTATCTCCTGCCGGATGGTGATGGAATAGTTTCTACTGTCACTACCAGGCCTCAGGATCATATTTCCCAAGGAAGGATTCTTCTCAAGCATCTCAGTTGCTTCCCTCCGGGACACTGCATAAAAACATCTACAGAGGTGAGATAAAAAACAGATTTTTTTAACTGATGAAGACCATTACCTGAAAAAAATGGTACTGAAATAACTCTAAGAGCTGCAGTTATTAAATTTTCTTAAATTTCCCAGCTTTATTATTACAATGACAGTGATATAATTACTATTATTACAAGCCTGTGCCACAGTGAGTATGCTTATACTTAAGGCCCTCTTTCCCTCATCCCTCCAAAGCCTCTTTGTCTTTAAACAAGAAAGACCTGAAAAGTTATCACCTGAAAAGTATATATTTACCATTACCACTTGAAAATCTAAGATAAGGATTAACAATATATCCCCAGACTCAGTCTATAATAAGCTCTTGGATAAATAATATTTATTGGTGGTTTCTTTTCAGAAATACAGAACATCTCTAGACATGCTTCTTGTATGGTCTAATGGCATTGGTGGCATTTTTAATGTGTAAAACTGTTAAAGTGCTTCTCATTTTTTTCAACTTATTTCTATAGTAAATATTGTGGTCAATGAAAAGCCTGTTTTTTCAACAGAGAAAAAAATTTGGCAGGATATGCAATACACCAAGGATGTTGAAAGAGAATATCTCTGGTGAGACAAAGGCTGATTTTAATCTTCTTTATATTTAACTGTAATAAACATGTATTGTTTGTCTTATTGAGTAAAAAGAAAAAGAAGCAGTCTGTGTGAATTTTAACCTATCAGTCCATCAGCTGTCACAGGTTTCAGCTAAGAGAGATGATTGGCAGTTTTCAGTGAGTGTGGTACAGGTAGAATACGCATCAGAACCTGATGTCAAAAATGGTACCAGGACAAGTTTCACTGACAAGAAGACCAAGATTCCAGGGTTCACACTCTTAGCCACACTTTTTAGCAATATAAGAGTTAAAAGACAGATGTAGGATGTTATTGACTTCAGCATGTTCTGTGCCTCTTCTTTCCCAACACCTTACACACTTGACACAGTGACTTCCTCAAAGTACAAGCTCAAAACTACTCACTGACTGATCAATTAAATAAAACTTTCAGATATGTTAAGTCTTCTGTATAATTTCCTGTTAGAAAATCAGTCAATCATAGAGTTGCATGGTGAAAAACATCCTTTTCCTTCCTTCTGCACAGAAGTTTTTATTTAGGTTTGTTCTTTGGAAAAAAATATCTATTTAGTCTAAAGGTGTGGGGGAAGGGGATTTCCTTTGTGGTAAGAGGCTTGGTTCAAATCTGCATTTTGTTGATATGACTTAGAAGAGGAAATATAGCACGTACTCAGAGATACACTGTGTGTCCACAAGGCAGCTTATTGTCCTTGCTTTAATGAGTCCAATGACTAGCTCTCTTTGATAATTAGAAAATAATTTCAGTAATCTAATAAGTAAACTGGAGTTTGTGGTGCACTTACGCTGGCATAGGGTTCAGTAAATCCACATAATCTTCAATTGGCTCCTTCTCTTTTTCCGAGGATGAACACGGTAACCGTTCTATCTCAGTCCTCCTTTTCTTTTCTCTCTCTAGGACTTCATGCAGTCTAATTACTTGCCCAGGAAGGAGTGACACATGTAGGGGAACTGACAGCTGAAATCAATTAAAGCAGTAGGCAAACAAGAAAGACAGCAGAATAACTAACTGATTTTAGCAACGATGAGCCTGTTCTAGTCCTAAGGAGCTTCAGTTACTTGACAGAAATGGGTGGATAGGATCATGAATAGAAAATCTTAGTGTCTTAGAATTAAGTTGCTTCTTAACCAACTAGAACCTGCACAGGATACCTGATCTTCCAAGAAATTCTCCTTTTGGGCCCAAAGCAAAGTATGCCCACCTGGCACCATAAGCTGATTCAAGTAACAACAAACCTCTCATTTTTCACTCTGAGCTCACGAGATCTCACTGTCAGGGAAGTGCTAGCATACCTGCAAGTTGTCCCACGGGTAACCTGGAACGAGCTCCACCAGCCATATGGCAACATGGGGTTGAGATGGAACCAGTTATTAGATGACTGAGAGCCAGCAGTAGATGGTCTATATTTTGGTATGTTTGTGTTTGTATTTTGAATTTTCACTCACACATGAGGTTTTTTAGAAAGTCTTTTCTAGAGTGTGCTTGGATTTAGTCTCCTAGATTTTCACACCTCTCATTTAGACCTCATTATGACCAGCTATATACTCTTTGAAGTTATAATCTGAATAGTAGAATATTTTTCTTTATGTGACAATACCTAGCCTATATTTTGAGCCAGCCATGTCTGATCGTCATCTTGATCCCTAGAGTGGGGTCCATGCCTTCCAGGGGGTGTGTAAGAAAGTCCTTTGGAGTGTGGGATGAAAATACTAGAACTTCACTTTCCATTTATGTATTATGTTGTTAATTCCTATTTTTGATTATATTTTAAACATATATGTGTATATATCCAAAAATATATATGAAATTTGAAATAAAAACTTATTAATAAGGGTACATAATCAAAAATATTTAGAGAAGATTCTTCTGGATAATTAAGCTACTAATAATCAATAAGACTATTCCCTTTTATACTAATGCAGAAAAAATAATAGACTGAGGAAAAACTAGTGAAACTGCTATTCCTTATTAATTGCTTATTATGTCCCAAGCTTTGAGCTATTGCAAATCCTCACAGCAATGCTACAAGGTAGGTATTGTTATCCCCACTTTACAAAGGAAAATGACAGACTCAGAAAGATTAAATAACTAGTCCAGGGTCAGATAGCTAGAAAGTTGTGGAACCAGGACTCAAACTCCAATTTAATTAATTCAAAAGCAACCTCTCTACACTTTCAACTATAGTCTGTGTTTCTCAGACTTCTACTAAAGTTCTCCTAACAACAGCATGGTATGAATGTATATAACAGAGTGACCTAGGAAAATTATAAAAACAACATTTATAGAGCACAATATTTGAGGTAACTTGTCATCTTTTGAAAATTCATGTGAATTTTATTTTAATTCTTTAATATGCCTATGTACATTTTAACTTAAAAAAATAGTGCTTTTAACCTTACCTCAAGGAAAAAAACTAAAAACAAAATTTTGGGGCCAACATGTCAAGCATAATTAGTGTTCCAGGAAGAGGCACCCCATGTTTTTTCCAGTGGTTTTAGTGTTCTCCTTGACACCTATACTTGTACCCCAGTATAAGAAGTGCGAGGCCACACACCAATGCCTTTCCACAACAGAGGGAGGAAATACAGTTCCCCAGAGAGTTTCTCTCTCCCCACAAATCAATATATCTTTAACATACCTAACTGGTCCACTCTTCTAGCTTCCTATGACTTTCCTACATGGTAGTTGAACCTCCAACTTTTACTGGCTTTTGTCTAAGACAAAGGACCAGCATCCAACATCTTGGTAAAGTGCAGTGCTTATTTTATTGTGACTGGAAAGGCTTTTCTTAGAAACTAGCTTTGGATAAAGTCTGTATTTAACTGACCCTAACAAACATAGGAAGCTTTCATATCCCCTAAGAGTATTAGAAAATATGTTGCTCTTTGGGGAGCTGGTTATCAAAGTACCTCATCTTTCTTAGACAGTTGCTACTGTGGCTTTATTTAAAATAATGGTAATTATTTTGCCAACAGTTAACTCTAAGCAGTAGACCTTACTATTTGTCTCAGATAAGATGCCACAGAGTTGAACAGATAAGCATCCCTTTCTCTTAAGACTCGCTAAACAAATGTTGAAAGGTGACTTTTCATTTTGATGGTCTCTCCCTGTTATATTGTCTATGTAATTCATAAAATCTATCTCAGTTAGCATTTTATAAATATATATTATATGAATAAGAAAGGAACTGGAAAGTATTTTAGCAGATGCTATGTAAGCTACAAATATCATAATATACAAAGGACCACTGTGTCAAAGGGATAAGATCAAAAGGTCTCCCTTACCACCTGTGATTTACTAGCTAGAATCATTCTCCTGTTGATTTTCTTCATAACAGTTATCACAATTTTAAATTATCTTGTTTGTTCTCTTGTTTATTTTCTTTCCTCTTTCCACTCATCCAATAAAAATATAAATTTCATGAGTAAGTGTAAGGGTTTATATCTGTCCTTTTCAATTGCTATAACTTCAGTCCCTTTCACTCTGCATGGTTCATAGTAGTTATTCAGTCAGTATTTGTTGAATAAGTGAATTAATCAAAAATAATGTCCTTCTTACTTCTGTTACTGTGAGAATGAAGCCTCTCCATTCTTCCCCACTTTCTGTGTTCTCTGTCTAAAGATGAAGACAAAAACAAAAACAAAAAAGAAAAGAAAAGTCATGAATGACTGTTAGCATTAATACATTTATTAACTTCAAATAACCTTAGAATTTCATATGATTGTTTTATAAAACTCAAAATACGTAAGCCATCAAAACCCAGCAAGATTGACAAAATGCATGTTCTTTTATTGAAGCACATTGCTTTAAGAAAACAGTTGTATTTTTAAACCACTTAAAATCAATTAAAAGGAAGAAATAATTCATTTTCCTTTTGGCTTTGAATTATTAATATGTATTTGTTATGAAATATTTCAATACTGTTTTCTTTTAACAGAAGACAGAAGTACATAGCTTTAGTGTATTTGCTTATTGTACAAATTTACTTAACTCAAAAAGATTTAAATGTTAGCACACTTATTTCTGCAGTATTTCAATTCATAGTTACTCCCCCACTGGTATTTAACACTGACTGGCTTTAAGTTTGGGGCAACCAGGTAGGACCAATACAGTTACTTCCAATTATCTTATTACTTAGTAAGTTACCTTAGAAGCTTTCAATTCATAGCTCTAAATACTACTAATACAACCAACATTTATTAAGTGCTTTAAGTGGCAGCTACTGTTCTAAGTATTTCATACGTATTAACTGATTCAATCTTCACGGCAACTACACAAAAGTTACTTTTTAAAAAGAATTTTTACAGAGTGTTCATTTAACAGATACTTATTGAGTGCCTTTATGTGCTGGCCACTATTTCATGTACTCGTTTACACTAGAGAACAAAACAAAAATCCTCATTCTCATAGGGGTTAGAGTCTAGCAAGGAACAATAAATTATAAACATAACAGTGAGTACATGTTATGGTGTCAGATGGAAATAAAAGAAATTAAAATGTAGAGCAGGGTTAAGAGAGATTAGGAATGCCATTCGGGCTCATGGGAGGGGAAAAGAATTGCAATTTTTATAAAGTGGTCCACGTAGGCTCAGTCAGAGGGTTACATCTCAGTAAAGACTTCAAAGGGAAGAATCCAAGGCAATAAAGAGATTAAGTAGGTTGCCTATGATTATACACTAACAAATAAAATAGTCACGCAAACTTAGGTCTCTGACCCTAATCTTGTGCTCTAAACCAGCACATCAGAATCATCTAGAGAGCTTGCCTAAAATGCAGATTCTGAGGCCCAGATTAGGAGTGGGGCCTTAGTAGATTCCTAGTAGATGAAAGCTTAATGACCAATGCTTTCAAGGTCAACTCCAACTATACCCTATTTAATGGCCAGTCATTCGCTTTGTGTTGTAGTTGTGGGTTGACTTTAAATGGCTCACTTTCAATGCCAATTCAAGAAAAAAATTTGTTTTCTATGTAGGTGCTGAGTATATAGCAGTGAGTTTAACAAACAGATCTCTGCCTATTTGGAGATTAGAGTTTTATGAGATTTATTTCATATATCACAAATTGTGTACATCTAATATGCAGCTCTCATTCAGATTTTCTCATTGTCTTGAAATGCTCTCTATAGCTTTTGTTCCGTTTTCTGACCCAGTGTCCAATCCAGGATCACACACTGCGTTACTTGTCATGACTCCGTAATCTCCATAAATAGGAACAGGTGTCCAGTCTTTCTTTGGCTTTCGTTACTCTGGTGTTTTTGAAGAGCTTAGGCCAATTGCCTTGCAGGATGTCTCTCAATCTGTTGAAATGTGAATTTGTCTGATTCAGTGGTTCCAAACATATATCATGTTGGATAGGTCTCAGAATCTCTGGAAACTCAGTGAATGCCAAGTCCCTGAGTGCCAATTCAAGAACAACTTTCTAAAAACACCAGGTGGAAGCTCTGACTTTCTCAGAGGACAGCAGTATACGGTTTCAATGTGCTTGTCTACTGAACAAGCGAACATGCCTTTTCAAATCTCTGTTTAGGAAACTATAGTTCTTGGCAAAGGCAGGAAATATTAACAAAGTATAAGCCTTGGCTGCTCCTCTTATAATTCCTCTTTACCTCAGCCACCAGGTTTAGAAAAGGTGAACGCTATTTATAACCAGAACTTGTTTCAGACTAATTTCTGCTTCTCACTTACCTTCAAGTGCACTTCCTCTTTTGGCAAAACAAGAGTGAATTTTGCACAATTTTTTTCAGTTGAATTCTGGTCAGCAAGGCATGTGAGGTCTATTATGTCTAACTTGTCAACATACTGCAAAGATACAGGGAAATCTCAATTATTTCATGGGTAACATACATTAGTTCTAGCAGGAAGGAAAATTAGTAATATCTTTCAAGTTACTTGTACCTGGCGTGATATCCTGGTTTGCAGCTGGGCATCACACCCCTTCCCAATCTAGAGGGCATTTGGAAATGTATTTTGCGGTGGTGGTTTGACTAGCTCATACAGGTTTGCAAAAGCCAATTGTTAAATTTTCAGCAGTTTTGAAAGATGCTTGTTAAACATGGCCATTGTTAAAAATTTAATTAAATAAACATACAAGTAAATAAATTATATTAACAACAGGTAATTAGAATTCAAAACATCATTTTCTGGTTATATTACTGCATAGCACTCTCTAAGCTCTTGTGTTTATTTATGTCTTCATTTCTCTGAAAGTATTATATACTAGAATACTGTGCTGCTGTACCTGTCTTTCCAACTCCACGTTCAGTGAGGTAACATTGATAGGTTGAAATTGGCCATGGTGGGAGTATTTACACCATGGAAAATGACAAATCTTACAAATTACAAATTAGGGCTTGATTTATTGTTTTGTTAAGTGTCCAGGGGGCCAGCAAACTTTTCTGCAAAGGCTAAACAGTAAATGTGTTAGGCTTTGAGGACCACATGCAGTCTTGTTGCAAATTCTTGTTCCTTTTTTCTTTAACAACACTTTAAAAATGTAAAAAGAAAAACATTCTGAGCTCACAGACTGTACAAAATCAGGCAACAGGCTAAATTTGGCCCAAGGGCCACATTTTGCTGGCCTGTGTTCTAGACTCCAGGAAGTAAAGAGGAAAATATTAATAATGCAGATGAAATTTTAAAGTTTGTTGTGCCTGAAGCTTTTTCATTGTAAACAGAACATAAAAATGAGAAAGTATTCTTCCATAATTCAAAAATTATCTCATTTAGTGAAGAAGTTGCTCATATCATTACAAATAGGTGACATTCTGACATACATAATTGTTGCTTTACTTTCATTAATGTAAACAAAACCATTGGCCAAACTACATGTCAAATATGTTTAATGACAATACAATAATGTTAGTAGGGAAACAGCAGATTGGAAAACAACTCCATTTATCAAATCATGATGGATTGCAGTCATAGTTGGCTACAGATACAGGTTTAGAAAAATCAACAAAAGTATTCTGTAAGAATCAATTGCCTGCATGGAAATTACAGTAAAGAATATTGTGTATTTTGTTTTTTAAACTGTATACTATACATTCTTTATATCAGTAATATTTATAATAAGTGTATATATATGTATATATTCATACATTTTTTCAGAAAGTCATTGTTCAATGTTTACCATATGCCATGGGTTATGAGGATCCTATTAAGAAATTCCTATATTATTCCAGTATAATAAAAATATTTCTTTTGAGCAATTGGCCTATATGAATTGGTCTGTATGCAACTGGTCAGACTTGCTCTGTAGTATAGGAAGATTAGGGCCATCTCTAGTAAATATAGTAGGGTTTTTAATGGTATAATTTTTGCTAAATCAGCCTCTTTCTTGACTTCTTTTTATCTCCTTTCATTTTACTCTCTATTATGCCCAATATAACCTATTTACTCTATTCTTGTGAATATGATTCTTTTATCTTCTGAATAAGGTAAGGCATGAAAAATAAGTAAATAATTTTGTTTCCAGAGCAATTCCTATATTGGTGAGGCTGAGGGTAAGTTTGAGTTGACCTATTTCTTTTTTTTTAATACTCTCCCTGCCTTTAAATATTTTTTTCTTTAAAAATATTTCTTCAATAACAAAAAGCAATTAAAAATGGAAAGAGAGATATAAGGAAAAGGGGACAAAATTTTAAATTACACAAGAATCTTTTTCTGATAAATTGTCTAGGTTAAGCTAAGTGAATTTTTCTAAGACAAAGGAGGAAGCAACAAAAGAAGAAGTGGAGGAGTTAGATAGGGTGCCATAAGCTGATCTGTTGATTAGAAAAAAGGAAGTCATATCTTTGTGTTTTTAATTGTAGTGTTGAAAGAGCCTTAAAGGTCATCTGTCTAATCTAGCTGCCTTCTGTTGCTTGAATCTCCCCCAGGGTATCCCTTCATGCAGTCATCCAGCCTATACTGGAACAACTTGAACAACATGGAACTCACAGTCTGCCTAAAGACCAGGCTCTCAGTCACTAAGCTGCACCTCCTCTTGCCATGTACTGGGTGAATAATTACCATTAACTCTCTCACATGTGTGTATTTTACAAGGTTTAGACTAAGGTCTTTTATATTTTCACTAACATCAGTGGGAAGCTGGAAGGACAACAAAGAAATTAATTTTGTTAAAATTTATTATGGTATTTGAAACCACCTTTATATAAATCTTGTCTATCCAGAACTCTGATGAAAGATGACCATTTTAACTTTGTTTTCTGTTTGTTTTCGTAAATGACTTCTGGTTAGTTTACCACTAATGGTGCTGAAATGCCTGCAGGTGAACACATCATACAGGCTCTTTCTGTATCTTTCATTAGATCTGATCAAGTAATAAAGATGTCCTAAGATGTGTGGGCTACTGCATCCATGGTGTAAAGTGTTTATATTTCAGCAGGTTACTGAATCATAAAAACTCTTAGAAGCATAGCATTCCAAGGTAGGCATGCATTTGCTACTAAAATGCTACATTTTATTTGTACAAAAGAAAAAAGAAATACATAGTTTTCAATTTTTTTTGGACAAATTGAGATATAAATCAATTTTTTTAAATTAACACAAATAAATTATCTCAGAATCTCTTTATTGTTACACTCATGCTTGAGCTCTTAGAAGTCATTTCATGAGGTATGTTTGTATCTTTCTAGAAAAATTAAATAGTGACATATTGTATGTTATAAGCTTTGGGGATCATCTAGTTCCCTTCAGATTATAACTGCATGCTACAGCAAGATGAAAAGTAGGGAAAATTAAAGCTATCACCTGGTATTAGGCAATATGAATCCAGATGTCCTGCTAAAGTTTTCACTTTTCAACTAAGTTTTTATTAACAGGATCAGCAAGGGAAGAATGCAAAGTTAAAAACATGAATTAATGCTTTCTTCTGAGTTACCCAGGAGATTTTACCATGGGTCTTGGAATTGATATCCCTCACAGATATAAATTAAAAAAAAAATCTACCCACTGTACATTTTTGAAAGTTTTAAAAAAAAATTTTGGGGAGAGGGAGGCAAATGTTCTTACTTAAGTTGGTATACTGGAACATCTTTACTCTTGGAAGACAGATAGTGAATAATAAACTATACGACAAGTTGTTTATAGGGAAAAAATTAAATCAGCTGAACATGTCTACTTACTATTGTACTTTTTTTGTCGGTATAAAAGAAAAGTGTAGTTCCTCTCAGCTCTGTCCAATAATGTTTATACTCCTGCAGGAAAGAAATTATAAGCATTATTTCCTTAGTGTATATTCAACTATTTTCCTCTTGATACTTTCCTTTGTAACTTTCTTAATTGCTGTGTGGTATAAGTTTCCTTTTTACTATAAGATAAATCACCTACTTTTTATGGCTTAATGTAACATTTAATTCTTGGTTAAATCCTTCACAAATGTATTTTAGTATGAGGTGTGATGTGGGGTTGTAATTTGATTTGTGTTTAAGTAGATCATTTTCCAAAACTTTCCTCATTAAGATGCTTGACTTTTTATGCAGTTTCAGTGGAACCTTGCACCTGTAAGAGGGGCCTGTATAAGGGGCCAGGTTAGGACAAGCATTTAGTATCTTCCTTCCAAGACAGTTGAAAGGACTGAGTGAAATAATACACATAAATCACTTAGCATAGTACATGGTTCATAGTTTAGGTTCAATAAACAGAATATATATTTATATAGGTCAAGGAAATATGAGCAATTGATAATGATAAAAATAACAATCAAAACTGAACTTTGAAGTTCAAATTTCATTCATGTGGTGAACATTTCATTATTAATACATTCACATTATTATGAGTTCTATAGAAATACAATTTTTTAAGTTTAAAATATTTAAATTACCCAGTCAGACACTCACTCAAGTGAAAGGCTACCTAGATAAGAACTTACATTCTATGAAGATTGGCTGTATTACAAAAGAAGGGTAAGTGGATTTTAAGAATACAAGAAAATTCTTCCACATCTAAAGACTTACCATCATACTCAGCTCTTTGCAAAAGTATGTTTTAAAAACCTCCAGTCAGTTTCATAGAAATGTTGATCATTCCTTCCTTTAGAGTTTAATAAGCTGAATTTTCGTAACATGTTGGATTGTCTTGACTTACATTGATGATTAATGTAAGAAAATCATAAGAAATATTTTTCTTTTGCTTACGAATATGAAGACACATATATTATGATATCTTGTGTTTTTTTAATACTGTCATATCATTTATCCTTCTTTTGATCCAGCAAAATATTTGTCACCTCTTCAGAATTTATATATTTATTTTCTCAAATAATGGGAGTTCTATAACCCGTCTTACTTTTATTTTCCTTGGCTCTCATGAAGCCACTATTCACTCTGAATTATAGCAAGCATCTTTCTCATGTTCTTAATAGAACTATTTCCTTCTTTTGTTTTCATGGCAGATAAGTTGCTATATTAGTTAGTTTTTGTGGTGTAACAAGCCACCCTAAAGCATTGTGAAGTAAAACAGCAAATATTACCTATTTCTCATCATTCTGTGGCTGGCTGATGATTCTCTGGATCTGGGTATATTTGGCTGTGGCTGAATGGTCAAGGGTGCCCTCACTCACTTGATTGGAGTTTCAGCTGGGAATGGAGAGTGAGTGTGTGTAGTATAATAAAAAGTATATTTAGTCTTAGTCCCCAAGTTCCTGGCATAGAGATCCTAAAACACTTAGAATTTTCTAAGTGATAGGAGTGTCTTTATTATTCACAATGAGCCCCTTTACATCATACTTGAATTTATACTAATGATGTAACTTAGGATGGGATCCCTAAATAGCTTCAGGTTAGGTCTGATCACCAAAAGAACAAATGATTAGAGGGTTGGAACTGTCAGCCCCACCCATCAACCTTCAGGAAGGAAGGAGTGGGCCTGAAGATTAAGCTTTATAAAAACCTGGAACAGCAAGATTTGATGAGCTTCCACATGCCAAAAGGGTGGTGTAGCCCATCTCCACAGAGACAGAAGCACCTGGGCTTGGGACCCTTCCAGATCTTGCCCTCTTTATCTGGCTGTTCAATTGTACCCCTTACCAGTAGATGTAAGCAAAGTGTCTTCCTGAGTTCTGTGAACCATTCTAGTAAATTATGAAATCTTACGAGGGAGTCATGGGAACCCCTGATTTATCGCCAGTCAGTCAGAAGCACAGGAGGTCTGGGACTTGTGACTAGTGACTGAGGTAGGGGGCAGTCTTGTGGACTCAGTTCTTAACTAAGCTGTGGGGTCTGTCCTAAATTTGGGTAGGTAGGTAGGTAGTATCGAAATTGAACTGAATTGTTGAATACCCAGTTGATGTCCAGAGAATCAGAGAATTGATGGAAAACACCCCAGTGAGACAACTGGAGTCATACTCCGTGTGGTTTCACCTTCCAGTCAGCTGACCTAGACTTGTTCATGTGCTGGCAGAAGGATGCCAAGGAGCAAAACAGGGCAAAACCCACCGTGCAAGCACTGTATAATCCTCTGCTTTTGTCACATTTGCCAAAGCATGACCCAGTCCAAATTCAAGGGGCAGAACAATAGACTCAACTTCTTTATGGAAAGAGCAGAAAAGTCACATTTCCAAGTGCATACAGCAAGCCTTGAACAAACTGATAGTAGTCCTGCAGCAATCTACCTCAGGGACAGAGCTGGAACTTGGGGTAAGGTTTCCCTGTCCAAGCCCTGCGGTCGTTCCACTTCATCCTACCTCCCAACAGAGAGCTGGCGATAATGTAATGTAATGAACCTGCTGATGCCTCCTGAACCAATTACAGATTACCGAAGAAAAGGACAATTTAAAAGGGCATAGGATTAAAGGATTGGACATAGATGGTCCCCAAAGAAGCAATTATAAAACTGGGCAAAGAGTTTCTTCCTCTTGTCTGAAATCCAGATGCCAGTATATACCTGACACCTCTCAGAGTCAAGTAGTTTAATAAGGCAAGAGAACAAACCTTAATTTCAACCCCATCAGAAGTCTTTTCCCTTTTATTTTCATATGGAATGCATAGTGTTAACAGCATTAAAATAGCCCTTTTCCTGGTCTCTCCGCTGCTTTCTTTCATCCCACTCTATTCCACACAGTACTCCTCGAGGGAATTATCTCCTCCACAGAGAGTAGGGCTGAGTAACGTGTGAGTTTAGAAGGCAGTATGCTCAGCTCAATCCCTTCCTGTCCTGTTCAGCCTACCAGGACAGAGTGGGCATTCTGCTCTGTTCCCTGCCATGTGGCAAAGGACCTCCAAGAGAGGCAGGCTGTGGCTCTTAAACTGAGTCAGTGATTCAAAGTACTACCTAAGTGACTCAATGCTACCTAAATCTGAGATAAAGTATTAGCACAGTTTTGGCCTTAAATCTAAACCATATATTGATAGATTTTATTAATAGTAAAAGTAATGAATTGATCTTCATTTGTGTGATTCCTGTGTCTTGATTTTCACCTGCTTTCAAACTACGGAGAGGAAAAATCCCAACAAATGGGTATAAAATGTATAAGGCAGGGGACATGTGTGTAACTGCTAATAGAGTTTCTTTTTAGAATGATGGAAATGATCTAGAACCAGATAGTGGTGATGGCTGCACAACTTTACGAATATATTAAAAGCCACTGAATTGTAAGAATAAGTTCAATGTTAAGGGACCAAGAATAGGAGTAGGGAAACCAGCCTCCTGCTATTGCCTCATAGAGTTGCTGTTGAAGGTTGAATTGAATAGTCATGTATGGAAAGTACATAGGACCAGGGACATAGCAAGGGTTCCATAAATGTTGACCAGTGGAGGGTGGGGAAAGCATGGCCTCATCACTCACATTATTGACAGATGCTTCACATTTTTTATTATCCAAATAATAGTACTCTTTCCGCATGGTGATTTGTATGTATATGTGACAATGGTGGCATCTAAAAATCTCTAAAGCAGATCTCTTTCAATGAGATTATGTACAAGAAGGAGAAGATATTTTGTAAACCAGAACAGTGAAATCCATTGTCATTTCTATATAAAATCACCCTTTCATTATTGTCTTAAGATATTGAAAACTGCATTGAGAAATTTGGCTTGAAAAGTTGTTAACCTATACTGTTTGTTTACAGAACAAACAGGTGTTCTGGAAAAACCATGAAAGTGTCTAGTCACTCTGAAAAATACATGAACTTTCTCAGAGTGACTTGAGATTAAATAATAAAATAATTCAAATTTATCTTCGAGCTTTTTAAAAAACATGTCTCTCTCTTTCAGGCTTTCACATCCTGCTCTAGAGGTTAAGTCTCTCAAAGCAAGGAGGAAGTCAAGGCTACACTGTATTTTGGAACTAGGATGGAATGAGAGAGAGTGGGAAGGAGATTGGAATGTAGGCATATTGGTTAGAGAACTTAATCACAGGTTTTGTGGTTTTACTGAAGTATGGCATCCAAGATCAAGTCCAAACCTGAGAGTCTATGATTCTTGAAGGAAAAGAAAGCAAGAAAAAGCTCTACAGCTAAAGTCTACCACGCTGTTCTTCTTCTTAAATAGCCTCACTAGTATTAACTTGCCATAAGACAGAAAAACTAAGATCACTAATAGCAGTCAAGGTTTATTGCATTCCCTCTGTGTGTACATGCAGACGTGCATCTGTACTCTTGAGAAAAATTATAGAGGTGTTCAGTCATGAGAGAATTCTATGAATTGTGTAGAATTAATGAGGCAAAAAGGAGTTTTACGGTAAACAAATATATAGATTCATAGAAAAGATTAAGGAGGGTTTATTAGATGGGGAAAGGTGCAAGAAGAAAGGCATTAAGTTGAGAAAAAGGCAGTGTGGAAGAATAGTAAGATTAAAAATATCAGTAGGCCCTGTGAACGCCAACCGCAGCCACAAACCTAACAATAGATCAAACTTACATTCAGTGTGCAGAGACCTGCCAGTCACAGTCTTGATTTAGTTTCTGATAAGTGCTCCTGAAAACCAGTATAATCTGAGTCATCTATAAATATCAAACTCAATGATCAACATCTAGGTATATATTTATATCTACAGAGATACATAAATATTTTAAAAATTAACTTTGAAGGACACATTTTTGAATGAAATACATTTAACATAAAGTTTCTTACTTTTAAGCAGTCATTTGTGCTCAGTTGCTGAAGTAAGAAAAACACTGAAATGGGACTTTTGGATTTATCACTAGCTTTGTAATCATTAGATGATTTTGTATTTTGACTTTAAGGTCACAATCTCATTTTTCTTCAATTAAACAAGAATTTTTCAAAGTCTGCTGAGCTCACTGTTGAGCTCAATGTGATAAAGGATCTAGTGATTAGACATTCCTAACGTTTGGAAACCCACCATCAAAATGAAATTAGAACTTTAGTTTGAAAGGCAGCATTATGTCGAAGTCTTTGCAATAAAATCCAAGCTAGGCTCTTTAATGATGAGAAATCTTGAACATAAATTCTGTGAGCAACAACTCACTCATCTGTGAAGTGTATAAAATAATTTCTACCTGGAAGAGTTACTGTGAGATCAGAGTGACAGGACATTAAGAGCCTCGCATGGTATCTTCCATACGTCAACACCTCAAGAAAATATACCCGTTTTTATGTAGTCCATTTGATCACTACAGCAACCCCTTCAGTAACTCAAAAGTGTATCCATTTTACAAAACAGGAAACATATTAAAAGATTTGAAGGAATTGCCCAAGTTCTGCAGTAAGACTGATACTTCTGTCTCCTTGCCCCAGTAAAAAGCTCCCATTCTTTTTCTTGTGAGTAAAGTGCCTTTGCTTAAGGACAAATGTTGTATAGTGGTCTCCAAAGTGGAGCACATAAACCCCAGAGGCATACAAGGTGATCCCATTGGGGAAGAAACTTTAAGAATGTCTCATTATATTTCATTTATTTCATCTTTTTAATTCCTTTTTTGCATATAGTTAATAATTTGCTTGGAGTATTAGTATAAAAATACACATATATAATTTCTAAATAAATTAATATTCTTGTATTAGAGGTCTGTGCTCAAAAATGTTTTCTTGAAAGGAGTGTCTTATTTTAAAAAATTGGAGATTACCAGCATAGAGAACTATGTTTGAGAGCACAATAGAAATAGCCCTGAAATGTTTCAAATAGAATTAGTGGCAATTAGAAGACTAGTCAGAGAAATGTTCTTTTGGTGTTATTGTGATGACTGTATTCTGTGTCCAGACTAATAAGAGGACTTATTACACACAATGTTTTTAATGTTAGCACATCACAGATTGAAGAAACTGTGAGATGTTGCCCAAACTCTCTTCTTTTCAAATAGTTCCACAAAAAATGAGAATTTTCTCCATTTGGAAGAACTGTGATGCCATTGGTATCCCAGTGTGGAATTTAATAGCTTTTATTATTGAATAAACCTTCCCAATCAATCTAGAATTCTAGTGTTGTGGTTTAAGTAAATCTTTGCACATTATCTTTTCCATGAAGATTGTGTACTTTTAATGAGTTCTTGACCTGGAATCCATGGACCTTTTGGCTCTGCATGTAAAATGGTGTATGTTAGCTCATTTTCCTGGGGGCAAATCTCCTTAGTTCTTAAAAGTGCACGAAAACAGCTAAGAAATACCTCTCAACGTGTAATCTTCCTGTAGAACAGATTATTCCTCAGTTCTATTTTTTCTAACTTAAATGTCCTGAATTCGTTCAGCAGAGAACTCACCGAACAATTCTGCAGAGCTTCCCAGCTTCTTCTAGCCCATAAGCTGGAAAGGTGACCTTCTTTATACCATCGGCTTACCTCCATTTCAAAGATTCCCTGGCCCACTATTTTCCTTCACTTTTTCTCATCACTTCTACTTTCAAGCACTCTGCTCATCACTGTGGCTCTCCTTTGAGCTGTGTTACTTGTGGATTCAAAACTGATTTTTGTATGTTAATAAGAATGTGATAGAAATAGAGGGATGGAGGAATAAATTAGGAGTTCAGAATTTGCAGATACTACCATATATAAAATAGATAAACAACAAGGTCCTACTGTATAGCACAGGGAACTATATTCAATTTCTTGTAATAGGCTATAATGAAAAAGAATATGAAAAGGAATATATATGTATAACTAAATCACTATACTGTACACCAGAAATTAATACAACATTATAAACTGATTTTATTATAATAAAAAAGTAATAAATAATAAAATGGAAGGAGAATGAATCTAATCTTTAGTGTGAACCGGGTGTTTTACATATATTATCACTTCAATCCTTGAAACCACCCTGTTAGTAGACATTACTGTTGTTCTCTTGTTCTTTTCCCTAACATATAAGTAAAAGATACTTTGCTATGAATTCAAGTGTAAACACAAGTTAATTTAATGAGAAATATTTACACCTATTGTTTATTCCTTCCATTTCAAAGCATACTTTCTAAGAAAAGTTAGAGTAGCATTCAGGTGAGTCATTACTCCTTACTAAGCCAAGCCTCATGAAGATAGGATCTTTGAGTTTTACTCATATTTTGCAGAACTGAGTGTGATGCTCGGTGCACAAGAGGCACATTATAACACTCCTTAAATGAAGAAATTCATTAAACATCTACTGTATCCCAGGCATTATACATTGGAGGTAAGTCATATTCTTTTCATTTTACAGTTGAGGAAATTGTGCCTCAAGAAGATTGAGTAACTTGTATAAGATCACAGTCTGTAAATGGCCAAGCCATCAGGTAAAGACATATTTTACTGACACTCTGAAATTTTGTTTTTTCTGCTAACCATACCAGTGGAATGCCTTTTTTAAACACTAAGAGGAGCCCAGTATCAGAAACAGTTATTGTAAATACTTTGGGAAAAAATTCAATGAATAATCAAATTTAAATTATAATTTAGAAATTTCTTTCTCCCTACTCCCCTTTCCTGGCAAAATGTAATAATGTAGCTAACCCATGGTAACAAGATTGAACTCATTTTAAAAAGCACATAGGATCAATCAAAAAATACTCCAGTGTAACTGATAAATATTACTATGTTATATATTTTTATGTTTAACACACATAACAGTACAAATTACCATGTCTTTACTCTCCAATAGTAAATGATCTGATTATATATGCAAGAAATATGAATATGTTATTATAGATATTTTTACATACATAATTTTTTCTAAGCATTAATTAATCCTCAGAAAATGTTTTTGTCATTATTAAACATTTCCTATGGCATTCCTCAAAACACTTAAATTTTTCTAGTTTCAATTAATATTAAAATTTTACAAAATTTGACCTAAGTTTATGATTTCTTTTTTCTTTAGTAACACTTTCATGTTTCTCCAATTAATTTCCAATTATCCACAGTTAGTATTTCAAAGCACTGATTTTTAACTAAGTATAAGTTTTCATTTTTACGTTTATAAAATACAAAATGCCTTGTGAGTTTCCTTAGTGAATATACTTATGTAGTTTAGTGTACATACTATGCATAGAGCAATCAAAGTATTATCTTTTAAAATCACTGTCTTGAACAGTCTTAGAACATATAACTATACATAATGTTAAACAGTATCAATTTTATCACTTCTATAATTTTTTTCAAGTTTATCATAAAAAATAATCTGATCATCATATGTAGACTTTAATCAACTGACAATAGTAGCAGAAGGTTTAATTTCAATCATAGTATTTTATCTTAATGGTACATGTCATCATGGAAGCACAGTAGTAAACTGCAGAGAAAAATATATAGGAAAGATTTTATCTTCCAAGCTAAACTCTTGTGATATTTAAATAAATTCCTTTGAAATTTAGGATTTTTTACATTAGTGGCTTAACATTAGAACTTTATATTATTATACATAATACACACATATATACACAAACGTGTTTAAGCCATACACTGTATTTAAATTATGAAAATTGAAACCCTGTTTCTGCCCTCAAGGAAGAGGGTTTAATCCCAGCAGAAACAAGAAGGCCCTAGTCACATCATATCACTACGAAATAAATTTTATATTAAGACAGAAGCTTCTAGTTCAACATTGTCATCTATGGACTTACCTGGTATTCTGACCGCTTGACTAATAAAAAGCCTTCAAAGTACAAGGGTAGAGCAGTAATCTTTGATCTTTCTTGGAAGATCCTGCGAGGAGCTGGTTTAGGGGGCTTCTTAGCCATCATACCCTCTGGTTGGTGTATGGTTTGTTTAACTTTATCCAGTCTCAAACAAAATGAGATCTTCCTTGTGTAAGAGGAAAAGGCAACTGTTTAAAGAGGAAGTACCATCTCAATTTTAAACCACCAACACACACACACACACACACTTTTTTTTTTCTTTTTGTGAGGTAAGAAAGAACAGGCATAGGTCAACTCTGAGAGGGTTGTCTCTGAGAAAACTACATGTGTTTAGAATTACAATAGCAAAATAAACAGAAGATTAACATCATCAGAGGATAAAAGGAACAGATGTGGAGATTATGGACTTTCAAGGAAACATCAAGGTCACATTTGTTTTCTTCCACTTTTTTTTGTTTATTGCTGTTCATTTTTATCCTCAGAAGACATGATTTGAATTAACTCCATTTCATTAAAAATTACTTCATAGGATAATTTTGTTAATACTATTTCTAAGTACAGTTGGCCCTCTGTATCCACAGATTCCACATCTGTGGATTCAACCAACTACAGATAGAAAATATTAGAAAAAAAATTCAGAAAGTTCCAAAGAGCAAAACTTGAATTTGCCATGCACTGGCAACTATTTTCATAGCATTTACATTGTATTAGGTATATAATAAGTAATCTAGAGGTGATTTAGAGTACATGGGACAATGTGACACAGGCTATATGCAAATACCATGCCATTTTATATAAGGGACATGAGTATTCAAGGATTTGATATCTGCAGGGGTCCTGGAATTGATCCCCTGCTGATACTGAGGAACGACTATATTTCAGAGTTGAGAAAAATGGAGCTATTTATTTCATGCCCATTTTGGTGGCCCACTAAATGTAAGCCACAGTTATGAGAACGTAAGGTTTTTTTACTCTTTTGTCAGGATTTTGAGTTGGTGGACTACCAGTGGATATTTGGCAAAATATGTCTGGCAGAGAAAGCTGTAAATTTTCAAACTTTCATTTTGTTCTTGTATGCTTTCTGAGCAGTGAATCACTGACACTGTGTTGCATAGATTGGGTCCCTACAGCTATCTAGTGAGATTTATAGAGCTACACTGGGGCATGTGTCCTTGAGAGACTGGATTTGGCCCAGTATTGTATAAAAAACGATGAGGGAAGGGAACATTGCAGGAATTCTGGTTTGTTTTGCAGGGGACCTGAGAGGTTCCACCATTTGCTATTTCACCTTCAATATTTCAGAATTACTCTAGGTTTATAACCCAGGGGTGAAGTCTGAGCACCCCCCCACCCCCCGCCCTGTTAGGCTAGCCTATTCTCACAAATTAAAGCAAGCCAGGGATTTCTTTTGGGTGGGTGGGGGTGTAGGGGGAGGTAATCAGGTTTATTTATTTAATTGTTTCTTAATGGAGGTACTGGGGATTGAACCCAGGACCTTTTGCATGTTAGGCACATACTCTACTACTGAGCTATACCCTCTCCTATGAAACTCCTTTCTTAATGGAGAGACCACATGGTTCCCCCAACAATAGGGGTTCCACTGGAGCTGCAACTGTAGATGTGAGGAGTCAAACTGTGTACAGAGTGAGGTATGATGAAATAAAATTTATATTTTATGTCAAGACAAGAAAAATTTAAACATAAAATTCTTCTCTGTCCATTTGGGCCTCTTCCCTTGCCTTTAGTGTATATTGTACCTCTGCTTAACCAGACCTCCCTAGGAGATCCCCTTCCTTCTTAATCTTGGAAGGGGCATGATGGCTCACTACTCACTTTGAATGTGCAGATCTGAATTGTGTAAACTGTCAATGCATGCAAAGATGTATAACTCTTTGTCTCAAAAACTTATATAACTGTGCTTTGACCTCTAACACGCAGAACAGTCCTCAGAGCTTTCTGAAAGACTGTCTCCCAGATTATAATCCTCAGGTTGGCTCAAATAAATTTTTCTGTTTTTCTCTTAGATGGATTATTGATTAATTTTTTGTCCACAAGCATGATGTATTTGGCAGGACATCAGAGATACCCAGCAGAGGGCACCTGGAGTCTACCCTGAACCGTTGCTCAGTACAAGCACCAACCTGTTGAATCCCACTGGTTTCTTGGTGCCCTTCAGGTGTTCCAGTGAATTCTCTGGATATCCAGTTCTCATTGCTTTCAAGTGATGATCCTAAAAATTTTATTTGAGCTGTTTTTATTTAAGACTTGGAGTCTGAAGGGGCACCAGTGCATTTCCACAGCAGGGACTTTGGGGGATCTGGGCAGGATGCCCAGGGAAACATGGGTGGCTTGGTTTTTGTTAAATTTAGCTTAAATTGAAAAAAAAAAGTTGATATATGATCTGAACAAAACTTTTGCTGGTGAAATGAGGGACTGAATTATTCAGCTCCAAAGAACAGGGGACATTTGCTCCTTCTGGCCACAAGGTGTTCTAAGGTGACTGAGAACCTAGTGGAAGTGTCTGAGGCTTAATTAATCCTTGTGACATGTAGTGATCCTACAGGGAACCCCATTACAATCATTAAGTAAATTCTGCTCAGGTAGAACAATACAGACTGAATATCAGTAAACTAGAGAAGCGTGTTCAGGTACATTAACTAAATGAAAATAGTTTGAAACTGAAATTAGAGTTGAAGATTCAAAATTACTGCCTTGTCTTTATATTACATTGAGACCTACTTCCTGTGATCCCAGACTTCAAATGATAGACTATAAGGCCAAGTTAATTTTTTGGAGACAAAAACCATAACTAATTTTTAGTTTCAGTATTTTAAGAAAGTGACTTGAATGACAGAGGAAAACCTCCTGATTTGATAGAAGACCTAATCAACCTCCTTGGCAGCTGGTAGCTGATGTCACACAGCGGGAAGTGAAAGGAGGGATGAGAGCTGAGAAATGAAAAGAAGGGACATGGGAGACAGGACGCTGGGAAACATCAGTGGTTGGAATAGGAGAAAAGTAGTTACTGGCTTTATAGCCAGAGAGTTTCATGGGAAAAAAAGAATGTCTCTAGAAAAATGTAAAGATAGGAATCTTTTTGAGAAATAATGTATCTTGTTCATTATGTCTTTCTTATCTTTTAAAAAACTAAACCAAATTAAAGAAAAACCAGTTCAACAGCCTCTGTAAATTGCTTTGGTTTGACAATTTGCAAGGCAAATTAATCCTTAATATACCAATGTTCAAATTATGTCTCTCCTCCCCCCAAGTTTTAGGTGGTGAATAACACATTTGTAGGTAAGAAAATACCATAGAAAAAGTGTTTGGGCAGAGGGCAAGAAGCCAGTTTTGCTACTAACCAGCTCTGAGACCTTGAACAAGCCAGAGAACTTCTCTGAGATAACTGTTTCTTCACTTCCTGTCTGAAGAGCTGCAACTGGCTTTTAAGCACCCTCCTACTTTCCACCCTTTTTCTCTCTGATTCATTTAAAATGCAATGTAATCAAGCCATTCCCTTGCTTCAAACACTTTAATGGATTCTAAGTGCTTTCAGATTCATTCCTTTTTTTTTTTAATTTGGCAGTAAATATTTACAGACCACCAATTATGTGCTCAAACATGGCACACAGATCCTTCATAGAAGGGCCCTTTTAAATCGAAACTCCTTAAAAAATACTCTCTCACCTAGTAACTTTGGTTACTCTCAGTTGTCTCAATAATTTATGGTCTTTCCTATCTTCTCTTTCTTTCCAATCACTGTGCACCTTGCTTGGATGCCCTGCTTTCCTCTTGTTAATATGATAACTCCCTGCTTATCCTTGAAGACCTAGATTGAATATATTCTCATCCATGAAGATTTCCTGAAGCCTTCCCCATCCCCAAGGGGAACGTTTATCTCTCTCACCCTGCATTCCAGTAGCATTTTGCACATTTTTATTGCAATATTTGTACCATTATATTTTAGTTACAGGTATAGCTTCTGTATCAACAGGAAATTGAGTTTTTCAAAAACAGGGATTATGTTGAAATCACAGTTGATAAGAAGTAGATTGCAGTAACTATTTATTAAGTGAATAGCTTCCAGCTGAAAGATATGATTCTAATTTGAAGAGTTAGCCTCCACTGAGACAGGAGATTTTTTCTGACAAGTGTGAACATTGTTTAACATATGATTCTTCTGTTGCCATGTAGAACAATTATGCTACTATGAAACTTTTGAAAATACACCGAAGTCCAACTATTATAGTCATCATCAGTATCTGTGTCACAGGAATTTGCTATAAATCAAGATATATGGCAAATACAACTCAACAACTGTGAGTGGAGTATAATGGAGTAACTCAAATAAAACCAAAATTTTAATGCTCTGAGTCATCTATGTTATAATACAATTCAAGTGAATGAATGCACATCTTTACAATACCTAAGGCCTCTCTAAAATACTATCCAGTGATGGGAATTGATTCAATCAATAAATCTGGACCCAATCTCCCTCCGGTACTTCTAATTTTTGGTTTTTGTTTTACTTAATGTTTATTGATGATTTAGTACCATTGGCATCACAATTAATTGCAGTAAATTTTGAAGATAGGTGAGCTGATTACATTTACGTTTACAATCTGTAACTGAAAAACACAGCTTTAATTTTAATGATTATATGAAAACTTTGTGCCACAGTGAGTCATTATTACTCAGAAAATGTTTCTTCTAAGTCTTTTGGGAGAAAAAAAAAGACAAGGTAGCTCTGTCAGAGTGATTTAATTTGCTAACCATATTAATCGCAGATTGGTGCTTTCCATCTGTTCCAACCCTTTCTAGTGTGCCATTCTTTACTGCAGAGGCTGAAAAGCTGAAAATTACATTTCCCAGACCTCTATGCAGCTAGAGTGGTCATGCATTTAATGCTGGGAAGGCAGAACAGATAGAATTCATTCTTTCACTGCCTTTAGTTTTTCTAGGGGCCAGCGTGGTTAGGCATCTGACTTTTTGATAGCAATGTTATCAGAAGTCTCAGTGTCTGATCACTAGTTTCATGGGTGTTGATAGTCAAGGCATGGAACATTGGTTTTCTGATAACAATTAGATATGGTATGGTATGGTGTGTTTCTGAAGCCAGGAGTGGTAAGGATGCTTCCTGCTCGTAGACGCTTCTTATTTGTGGTGGCTTCCTTGAAATGGCAGTTTTGTAATTATGGTCAT